TGGCCCAAGCCCTTCACACATATCTCACTTACTCCCCATGATCCTTATACAAAGGCTGTGAGAGGGACCTCCTGTGGGCCCCAGCTGACTCGCAGTTTTAAATAGTCCTGCTCACATATCCCACTTTGTAAAGATCTTCAAACCTGCAAACACTGTTTCCCTCACCATCTGTTACTACCTTAAACTTAAGGCAATATTTTGGAAGAGAAGTAATAAGAATAGCAGTGAAGGAAGAACATCTCTCCAAAGCTTAGATCCCTGAGAGTTTGGAATTTTTGCAGGAAAGCAGCAATTTTCAACCGGTGTGCTGCAAGATGTATCAATGAATCAAAATTATGCCTATGTTGTTGTTGTTTTGTCAGAACAACAAAAAATATATTTTTGGGTGTGCTGCAGAATTTTAGTAATTAGTTTGTGTGTGCCATGCGGTGAAAAAGGCTGAGTCGCTGCAGTAAAGGATTAGTAACTCTAGTAGAGGATACGTGGGATGATGTAATTCAGAATTCCCTCCCTCGGCAAATGCATATTCTGTTCCTGCCCTCTGCAGGTCAGGCCCTGTTCTGTGCTGTAGGAGTGCCACAGTCAACAGAATGCCTGCCCTCATGGAGGTGACATTCAGGACTGAAAGCCTACCCTTCCATAGTCTCTTTCATATTTTGGGACTTGGAACAATAATACAGAAGAATGACAAAAAAAGGGGTGGCAAAAAGTGTACCTAGTTGGCTTTGCACTAACATCCCTTATACCCATCTATCAAAATGACTGTTCATTCACATCCATATACACACGCGGGGTGATACTGAAGCAGGAGATGGAAATGAAAACAAGTAGTAAGCATACATCTTTATATTTTGTTTCCCAAATGAAAAGTATAAAAGAGAAAGATGGGCTTCAGTTTTTAGAGTAAGGGGTATGGTTTTTATATGGCTTTGGATTTTTAATGCCGACTAGGAAATTGCATTCAACTGTGCTCAGAATTACTCATTGTAGTTGTACAGGAGCATGGCAAATTATCACATGTTAATTTCTGCTGACCTCTTTTATGTTAAACCATGTAAAGTACTTTTGTAATTATGAAGCTGATTTGATTTACTAAGCGTTTACATTAGTAATATATGAGCTGAGTTGAAAACCAGATTATAAATAATTTCAGCATGACATTTGGGTAAAATATAATCTGAGTTTATTTATGATGTTCTGTCCCCTGACATTAGCTTTCTCGTGACAGTTTTAATAATCATCATATCTGGCCAAATTAGAAATACTGAATTTCCACATAAAGAAAATTTACTTACCATTTGATATTCCATTTCAATATCTAGCTAAAACCAAGGAGGGGAAAAAATGTATTATTATTATTAATATTATTTTCAAAAGGAAGAAGTTTCTTTTCAGATGCAATATAATACAGGAAAAGGCATAACCATTTACATTGCAGAGCAGTTGCTCACAAGCCCAACTGCACACTACAACAGCCAGGGGAGCTTTTCAGAAAATTCTGATTTCTGGATCTCAACCCAGACAAATCCAGCTGGAGCCTCTGGGAGTGCGAACCAGGTGTCAGTATTTGTTCAGAACTCTCCCCACGTGATCCTAATGTTCATTCAAGACCGAGAACCATGTGATGAAGGAGTGGACTTAGGAGCAAGCAAAGTTAAGGAAAAGCTCTGGAGAAGGCCCTAGTGTAGGCGGATGATGTGAAGGTCTAATTTCTCTGCCAAGACGCTGCAGGCACTACAGAAAAAAATGGTAAAAAAAAAAAAAGTGTCTGGAAATTAAGAAAAGACCCATAGCAGCAGTGGAGACTTACAGGCTGTTCTTTGAATGGATCCTGTCTTGTAACCGGTGCTGAAAGTATTATGGTGGCTGGCAGGAGGTGTGTTAGGAAGAAAAGGAGAAGCCTGTATAAATATGAGTCTGTGTTTGCTCAGTCATTAGCATTAGTTTTCATTCCTTATGTGGAAGGATAACTGCTTCATGACTTTGTTCTTTTGTGAATTTCCTTTTTGCCTGTGCATTTATCCTTTGGTACCCATATTTCACATTAAGATACAAAACACAAATAGAAGATACTTAGTCAAAACAAAGCGCAGTCGATGCTTTGAACTGTTTTTCATTTATTGACCTTCCATTTTCAGCACGCATTTCTGGGCTATGTGCTGGGGGGTGGGCTAGTAATGAACAAGATGTAGTCCTGGTCAGGATGAATTAGGACATTATTTACTAAGTCTTGGAAGGAGACGGGATAGTTGTGAATAAATAATGCGCCTGTATTAGTCAGGGTTCACCAGAGAAACAGAACCAATGGGGTAAGTAGATAGATTTGTCCATATATCTATCTACCTTTCTATCTATGGGGAGATTTACAATGGGCTCCCTCAGTTACAGAGGCCGGTGATCTGCCATCTGCAAGCCGAAGAAGCAGGAAAGCTGGTGCAGTTCAGGCCCCAGGCCTGAGAAGCTGGGGCCAGAGGGCGTTGGTGCAAGTCGCAAAGATCTGAGAGATACTCAGACATGGGGAGAAAGATGTTTGAGGGAAGCGACACTGATAAAATGGGAAAGTGAGTAGTATGTGCAAACCTAAGTGAGATTCTGAGCAGTGGTGACATTGAGATGTCACCTGGTGGAACAAAAACAGAAACAGGATACGATGTGGAATCATCTATGGCTCCAGAAAACAGTTTAGTCACACATGAGTTTTTCTTGTCTTTGTTTTAAAATTTATAAAGACTCAGCCAAGAAACAGGCTAATAATTCACTAGTTTTGCACATAACTTTTTGGCTATTTTTCTCAAGCAATTTACATAGAACTGTGTGGTTCTAAACTATTGTATGCTGACCATTTTTAAACTTTTGGAGTCATCTCTAAAACAGTAAATTTATTTCTAAATAGTATAATTTTGATGAAATAAAGTGTCTATTATATTATACCACATTTTAATAGAGATATGTGTTATTTGTGACCTCCTTCCTCTCCCGTCCTTAATTTTTCTCCTTGTTTGCCTGAGTGACTGTAAATTTAGAAGACGTTGGTATTTTCATACATGATATTTCTTTAAAGTATCTGTTGTGGTAAATAATAGGAACTTCAGGTAAACAGAGCCTGCCATTTATCATCTATTTTGACAGTAAAAAAACCAACAAACAGGAACTGGCAATGTTAGTGAAAAGTCAAATTGAAAATTTTATCACAATGAAAATTAAAATTTCTTGCATTCTCTTTCACTTTCCCTCAATTATGTTGACATCATCTAGCTACAATCAAACTCTGTGTGAGACCTTACCTACCACATGCACACAACCCACTTCTTTCTCTCTCCCTCCTACCCTTCCCTTCTTCCCTTCCTTTATCTTTTTATTAGTCTTAACATAGAGACTTTATGTTCCACCAGGATCATCTTTTACCAAGGTTTGGGCTGCAGCAAATTCTCTTTCTATTCCAAAGGGACATTGCTAATCAACCCCAGCATTCTCCCGGACCCATCCTAAGTCATCTTCCTTACAGTCTAGTGCTCCAAGCAGCCACTACCAGTAGGTTGGACTTGCAACTATTCTACAAGAAACCTGGCCGGAATAACATTATCCACATTCCATCATAGCAATGTTCCAGGTTATGCGAACCATCTGGGGGAGTCAGGGCCTCCTGGACCTACTAAAGCAGAATCTTCAGAGAAGGGGCTAGGAAGCTTTCTTCAGTTCAGCTGTGTAGAGGGGTTTGCTGTTTTTCCTGATCAACATTCTGGAGAACAAACAAATGTATACACATCTTCCTATACTCCTTAAAACAAAATCTCTCCTACCCAGGAGATTTTCTGCAAGTAATTTCACTTTCAGAACATCAGCCTTATCAATCTGGGTATTCTGAGTATTCCCAGGAAGCTTTATCTAGGGTCATAGGAGGAGGCAGTGCCCGATTTAGAGAATGGTTCCTATAAGTGTATGAAAACTTGGTACCAGGAACCAGACTTCAAAATGAAGTAAACAAGCCCAAGTTCCACATTCTTCCAATCAAGGGAATGCAAATATATTTACCCGCCTTTGGAATTAAGCTCAGGTGGAATAGGCTATCGCATGGCGATTGAAGAGGGTGGAAATACAGTCAGCAGAAGGAGTCTTAAGATACTGCATCTTCTTCTCACCTAAAATCACTTAATTGAAGTCACTTTAATATAGGATCCCAGTTGTAAAGCAAGGAAGTCACTCTAACAACAGAAAAAAAATTATCACTGAGTAAGTTACTTTCTCTTGTACAGCTTAGGAGTACTGTATTGCCCATGAGTAATATTTTATGTTTGGTTTTCTGGCTACTCATGCATTTACCAAAGTGCCTATTGAAGTTTTTTTATTTACTACTGAAATAATCTGGTTTTTCAAGTCTTTTGTTCTTTGCCGAGAGCAGTTACAGTCAACTGAATATAAACCACAGGGCAGTTTGTTTTCAATGCTAGTCATTGTTACCATGCTAATTATACACTGCCGACTTCCAGCTTCAATAAACTGTGACTTCAGTGCTGAAGGCCATAGTCTTTTATCATCTTTTATTTTAAATGTCTCCATACAAGAAACATCTTAAAAAGTGTCCTGGTAATGTTGCCAATAACACTAGATAAATGGTCAAAACCAAGGTGGGAATTCTTCGCCAAGCATTATACATTGCCATTGTATCTGCACAGCATATGTTGGTGTAAAAGGGTCTTCTCCTCTCCCAGTCATGCTGATTAGTTATCTCCTCTATCAAGGCCATCTCTTCACCATGTTGCCAATCATTTCTACAAACAAAAATCACCTTGCAAGAAAACAGGTTGGCACCAAGTAACCCACGGTTACCCCCGCACTATCCCCTGAATATAAGATGATAGAGAAGCAGGGGATGTGGGCATTTCACACATGGTTGGAGGAAAATCATTGGGGATACGCATGATGTGTTCATTTTCTCTGCTCTCCTAGAATAACATGGTTTTCAAAGTAACTGATAACAACGTTGTTTTCAAATGCTATAGGTAGCCCTGGTGGAGAACCTTGTGGAAGGACTTGTTTGGAAGAAAGAGACAATCAGTGGTTGGGGGTCACTCTTTCCAGACAGCCAGGAGAAAATGGAGCCATCGTGGTAGGTTATTGGAATTGGTCCACTGATCACATCATGAAATCAGATATTCTTGGTGTGACTTTCACATCATTTGGTCTACTCTTATGTTTTATTTAGACTTGTGGGCATAGATGGAAAAATATATATTATGTGAAGAATGAAAATAAGCTCCCCTTGGGTGTTTGCTATGGAATGCCCTCTGATTTGCGAACAGAATTGAGTAAAAGAATAGCTCCATGTTATCGAGGTAAGACACAATTTTGATATTAACTGGATCAAAAGAAACAAATGACTTTTACTTTTTTTAAAATTATTTTCAATATTAAATGTGCAGGGAGGGGATTTTTTTAAATAGCTGTGTTCTTTTTAACTACTCAAAGTACCCTTTCCTTTTTTACTCAGAGTATTAGTTTTTATAAATGTACTTCATGTTTTCAGGAAATTCTACAGTTTTAATTTGAATAATTCTAGAACCTTGTTGATAATTTTTCACTTTTGCATTAAATACATTTTCAATTCACTATAAGTTAGTCTAATGCTCAACAAACAGGATACTTAAAATCTTGAAATTACATTGAAAAGGCTAATCAGTAAGAAGAAAACTGTTTAAGTTTCTTGCTTTCCTTTAGCTGCAAAGAATATTCAGAAAGATTCAAGTATAATGGAAGCAAGTATTTTCCACTTATTATGTATTTTCCCCCCCACATTCACGTTTTTCTTGAAATGGCAAGGGCTTGGTATCTTAAGTTTGAAAGATTTTTCCATAAAAATTCTAGGCCATCGGTAGCATTAATGTACACAGAGTTAGGACATAAATAAACAACTGAAATGAAAAAAGTTCAAGGTGAATGTCAACAGAGCATTAAAAAATGTATCTGCAACATAACAAATTCTAAAAATTTGTCTTTGAAAAACTCAGCATTCAATATATATACATTCTAACTTTTCTAACCAAAATGATTACCCCAGTATCTGAAGAAAATACCTATTCCCTAACAAAATTTTGACCAAGTAAGCAAATTCAGTTACTGATTCTATTAATACTGGGGTCTTCCCTCTCTGGCATTTGATATTATGGAGAAGCTTATATCATATATTTTCCTGATTGGCCTTTGGATGTCAATAAGATAAAATGTGAATTTTAAATTCTTAATTTCAGTAAAACCCAGTCTAAGTTTCTGCATGTTTATTATTCTCTTTTTCCTAATGGTTTATGGTTTGTACATTGAAACATTTTCATCCAATAGAGTGTTTTGGGGGTTTTTTTCTCATTTATACCTAGCCACATTCTACAAAAAAAGTTCAAGATGGCATAAGTATAAGATGACCAAAGGGGAAATTTTAAAAATAGAAAAAAAATAAGGTCAGGGAAGATATAAAAAAGAGTGAAAAATCATGACAGAGTATGGTAATTATAAATGACTTAGCAATTCTTTTAAATTTTCTAGTTAGTAAAACCAAAGCAAAGATGTGGTTCTGATTCTTGTTTTCATAGAGGTTTACTTGTCAGTTCTTTAGAAGCACAGCTTTGTCTTCATAGCAAGTTCAAGACCCTCTATTTCCATGCAGCTCTTCACTCTGTTATTTTTAGTTGGACAAAATCTAGGAAGACTATTTTTTTCTGTTAAATTTTTTTAATGGAGGAACTACAACAAAAAAATTGGAATGAAATACGTTTAGCCTTAGACAACAAGTGATTTCTGGTTGATGATTTCATATACTGAAAAGTAAATGAAATTAGACAGTAGACTCAATAGAATATTAGATGTGTAAGAAATTTTGGCAATTGTTGAATCAAATGCCTTCATTTTATAGAGGAGAAAACTGTGATCCAGTGATACAATGTAATTTTATCAGAATTTTAGCCCTCTGGTAGCAGAAGGGGCCACAAACAGATTTTTATGCTTTTTCTGATCCCAAATGTCTGTCCAATTTGCAAATTAATGCGTGTGGAGGGGAGGCTTATAAATGAGGGCAATAGTCATTGTCTGGGAATGCTTTTCCTTCTCTTTTTCTACCTTTGGTTAAAAACTAGTTGGTGGGAGAGCGAGGAGCCACCATTCAAGTATTTTTTTTGTGTTCTGGTCTAGTCACCTATCTTCCATAAGATAAAATTATGCAGATTTTGTGTTTATTTTTAAATAAAATCCTGAATTGCTTTTTCTACATCATTTTAGATCATGTGAAAAAGTTTGGAGAACATTTTGCATCATGTCAAGTTGGAATATCAAGTTTTTACACAGAGGTAATAGCCCAAAAAATAGCCACTATGAATGTTTACATATAGAATTTTAATTCTTGTGAAGATTTAGAAGACTGATATTATGCTTTAGAGTAAAAATTGTATAACATCTGAATATGTCTTTTAAATTTGAAAGTATAGTATTACAGTTTAATTTTACCACTCAGTATTTCACATATATTTTGAGAAAATACTAGTATTAGATAGCTGTGCCACACAAGATCAACTAAAAGTCTGTACTAAAGAATATTATTCTCATTAAGAATTTAATAGAAATTGAAAGTAGCTATAGTTATTTTTGTTAACTTAGGCATCAGGAATATCCAAATATGTTATTTTTACTTGTTGAGGGGTTAAGTAAGCATGTGAATTCACACTTTCAATTAAAATTATGAGAACTGGGAGACTGAAGAACTTAATAACCTCTTAAATCAGATATATTCCCAAACTCTATTACTCTTTTTCTACTATTCTAGTCACTCTTTGACTTCTTTGACTTCTGGTGAAAGATCCCAGTTGTGTTCAACCTCCAGAGCTCCCAGCTTCCCTTAAAAACCAATTATGAATTTATTAATGTTTTCCAAATCTATGTAGAAAGACTTGGGTTAACAGTTTCCATAAATATTACCTACTATGTTAAAAAAAAAAAAGAGTAATGCTTTCTTTAACGTATATTTAAATTGACCTTTTTGTGTAAGTTCAGGATTTAAATTTACCCCCTTTTTTGGGGAGGGGGGGTTCAGAATTGTTTAGGAAATTTAGAAACATGTTAAATAGGCTTGATAGGTTTGATTGCTGAAAGTTCTCATATTTTACTAGACAACTGCTCATTACAATCTTCCTTCTGTTTCCTTTTTCTAAATTCATATCTGTCATCAAATATGCCCCAAATTTCATTGGACTTAGTTTTTTCTAAGCTAACATTGTTAAGGAAACTAGCTAATGGCTTTTTGCAAATTGAAATAAATTAAGTCTACTTTTTACTCTTTGACAACACATGATTATCTCTGTAATGAGCACTAATGAATTACCCAGATATGTTTTCCTTTAATAGAAAGCACATTGCCTTTCTCCGGAAAGCTTACTGTAGTGTTCAGTGATTCTCCTTTTGATTTCTAAGTCCACTGATAAGTGTGAAGTGAGTTTCTTCTCTAAAATTCTACTTTTTGGTAAAAATCCATTAGCTAGCTTCTCTTTTTTTCCTGGTGTGTTTTTAAATGCATAAAATGCTCAGATTTCAGAAATTTATTATAAAAATGTATTCTTGTTACTATTTGCTTAAAATGTATATCTGGAAGAGGTTTGGGGTGATGAGATTAAACGTTTAAATGATGATAAATCATTTATTTCTTATAGGATTTAATTGTGATGGGAGCTCCAGGATCATCTTATTGGACTGGCTCACTTTTTGTCTACAATATAACTACAAATAATTACAAGGCTTTTTTAGATGAAGAAAATCAAGTAAAATTTGGAAGTTACTTAGGTACTGTAAAAATTGACAAACTTAAATTATAATCTTTTTAACAGATATTAGTAATTATAAATAGGGTAAATTGTATTTTCAAAAGATCAAAATGGTCAGTGTCCATTAAAAAGAGTTTGTCTGTTTAAGAATATAATCTATGAAACTTTAGTTAACTTCATATTTAATATATGTAACTACAGTCACCAATATATAATTCTTAGACTGGAACTTCTGGTTTATTGCAAAGTGTTTACTCTTTGTAGTAAAACACTTGTGAGCTTGTCTCTTTATGTAGTCAGCTTATTACTATAAAGGTAGCATCTGTTGAGGGCTTACCACATGCGAGGAACTTTTGCAAGCGCTCTACATGAACTAACTCACTTAATTATACATGTGTAAGTGTAGTTTCTTAAAGGGCCTACTGTCGACAGCATCCTAGACGGTGGGTGACATTATGAAGCATAGGGGTCTAAAAGAAGCTCATTGACCTTTGCTTCATAAGTCCTTAGAATATTTCTTAGAGCTTAACTATTTTTATCTTCTTATTATTTATATTCTTATTCTTGTTTAATAAGTCAGCAGTGGGCTGCTTTATAGTCTGTTTAAACAGAAACACAACATTTTTCTGTCATTAATTCCCCTGTTATAGTAAAAGGAATGCTTTTCCTATAATTTCTTAGAAAGTACAGATTTGCTTAAACCATATGTGCTTCAAATGTGAGCTGCCTATATTCAGAAATATTTATAAGAAGCAGCAGTATTGTTGTTTCCATTCGAACAGAAGGAATTCATTTTCAAACAGAGGGAATTCATTTATATTTCAACATTTACTTATTTATGGTTGAAGGTTATCTTCAAGTATTATAAAATGTAACTTGGTATTATCCCTTTTATTACATAATAAAACAAAAATACTTTTCCATTTCTATCATCATAAAATTTTATCACAATAGGAAGATTTTGTCAGAAAAAAGTTGAAATTTAGGAAACTTTTTACTTAAAGGTTAAAATGTCGTATTTTATAGACTTTACAATATTTCTGCTGTAATCCTAGAAGCTTGCATGTCCTGATACTACACAGAGACTAACAAACCACATGTAAAGGTGCCATCTTCAATTTCTAGGACTTGGAAATATAAGCCATGTGACTAGTTTCATAACACATATTAATAATTGCTTAGAGCACATAATAAATGACAAATTTTGTGTATTGCTTTGCTAAATATTATTAAAACTCTGTTCTATGTAGTTATTTTGTATTCAGTCTCATTCAATTCTGAGTGTGTATACGATAATATATTTTACCCATTTCAGATGATGATTCTCACACTTGTCTCTGTTTTCTTGAAGGATACTCAGTTGGAGCTGGTCATTTTCGGAGCAAGCATACTACTGAAGTCGTTGGCGGAGCCCCTCAACATGAACAGATTGGTAAAGTAAGAACTATGTTTTTAATAATTATTTCTTTACAAGGGTTCAAATAGATTGCATGAGAGAAGAAGATATTAAGGGAGGAACTGCAGAAATTCCAAGGAGTGAGAACTAGAAGTGATGAGCCGTGTGCTACATTTAGTGGAACTGCTGAACGCTGTATGGCTTTTAGATAAAATTTAGCAGAAAAGTTTTAAGGAAAAATATAAAAGTCAAATATGAAACTTTCATTTCTTATGAGTAAATTGTTTTTAACTGTCTCAAAATGTCCGGGGAATATATTTATTGGTTAACAAGTTTACAGCTAACTGGAAATTGAGACAGCTACATGTTTTATGGTAAGGGTAGAAAGAATCAGACGTTGTTTCTGGCTTTTTAATTTTTTTTACCTTGTTGTGTCAATGTTACTACATTTTCCTGAGCCTTACCTTGACAAGTAAGGCAAACAGTGCTTTCTGTGCCCTTGCAGGGATCCATAGGTAGTTCCTGGCGAGGTAGCTTTGCAAGGAAGTCACGTTAATCTGAACATGGTTTCCTAAACCTTTGGTGGTATCACTATGAAAAGGATTTTTAAAAATACAGGGTATCCCCCCAAAATGTATACACACTTGGAATAATTATATATACCAATGGGTTAAATGTGAAAAGAAAGAAACATCAATTGAGTTATCAGCTGCTGAAGTGTGTATACATTATTATTATTTTTTTTTTGGACACTGTATATTTGAGCAATTACAAGCTATGGAAATCGATGTTTTGGTCAACTGGACATTCTTTCATGTGATAGCAGTTTATCTAACCTTTTCTGATTCTTTCCACAATTGCAGGCATACATATTCAGCATTGAAGCAAAAGAACTAAATATCTTACATGAAATGAAAGGTAAAAAGGTAATATGCCTCCACCTTCGGTATGGCTGCGGGCTTTTGTGACTAGCCCTGCTCTTTTCTCAGTGCCTGGGTGTGGTTTGTTTGGAACAGCTTGGCTCCTACTTTGGAGCTTCTGTCTGCGCCGTGGACCTCAACGCCGATGGCCTGTCGGACCTGCTGGTGGGCGCGCCCATGCAGAGCGTCGTCAGGGAGGAAGGCAGGGTGTTCGTGTACATCAACTCGGGCTCGGTAAGGCCAGCCACCCCGGGCCGGGAGCCACCTACGGGTCCTGTTGGCAACTTGTCCCTGACTTCTGAGACTATAGGTCCTTCGGCTTATTTTGCTGATGAAAGTAAAAGTTCTGGTATGATACTGATGCTCCAAAAATGAAATGGAGCATGATGACCAATGGGCTGCTGTCCCATTTTGATATTCCAGAAGGATGAGATCGATTATTCTAGAGCTTCTCTATTTCCAGCTTGTATGTGTTCACACCAATAGATCAAGTTTCTTTTAGTGTATATATGACTCAAATCTAATCTGAAGGAAAGATTTTTGTATCCCTCAAAATGAGGATTTCTTATAGTGAATGTCCTTGTATAATTTAATAATTATAAAATGTTATTAAAAGTAGAAGAGAAAATGTTACGTATTTTCAATGTCTTGATTTGACAATTGGAAACAAGACATGTTTTGATACAATGGTAATTTGCACAATTAATATAGATTACATTATTGATAAGAATATAAAATTGACATAGCTTGTTCCAAACTAGATATTGTAGTTGTAGAAAGACATAATATGGAGAATATTTTGGAGTAGAAACTGAATACTTGACAGGTCAATTAAAAGAGGTCCGCTGGCCTCATCTTGCCAGTCTATCTTCTTGGCCATAAATCAAACTGAAGAATTGATAGGTCCTTAATTGGGTCTTTTTGGCCTGCCTTTGATTTAAGAGCATGAATGGGTTTGTGAGAACATTAGTTCATTTGTTAAGGCACAGAATTTTCAGTCAGGATTCAACAAAGTAAAATCTGTTTCAAGAAGGTATTTGTAATCTCATTTAATCAATGGTCCCACAACATTTAATAGATTTCTGTATTAAGCATCAGACTAATCATTTTAAAATTTAAGAAGAAATATTCAGTCTCATAAAGCTGAGAGATTCTGAGAGTTCTACGGGCAGAGCAGGGGAGATCTTTATGCATTGGAATTTTCTAGACTGTTGTTTAAATCTAAATTTAATGGTAAAAGCATATTATAATATACAAGCGATCACATCTCATTAATAGCGACATCAGGTATTATTACTTTTCTGCGGAGATGTTTCACATTTCCATATCCACAGATGGTCTTCCTTTGACTAGCTACACCCTCATTCTGCATACGTCTCTTTCCCTTCTCTTTACAACTAAACTTTGTGAAAATAGTTTTTGAACAGTAGCCTATACACCCAAAAAAAGGCAATAGAGGGCTTCCCACCCCCCCCATTGAAATCTTAAGCAATCCCAATATGAAAAACAGATTAAAAAGGAGCCCTTTTGCTTTAAGGGTAAGACAGGAGACCAACCCACAAGTCTACCCTTTTGTTCTTCCCTCCCTCCTACCCAGAGGCACCACTGTTGAACACGGGGGTTAATTTCATAATTGATTTCATCTTCTAAAACCAACTGTGGCATAGAGTATTCTCCCCTTGTTCCCTTCTACCTCCCTGTTTTCTACCTCTCTAAAGAGGCCTTACCACCACCACAAAGGCACCCTATTACATACCTGTTGGTCTGGCTTGCTAGCACCTGTTCCTCTGCTGGAACGTGGACACCACGTGGAAGGGGATCGTCTGTCTTGTTTACTGCTGTTTCCTCGGGGCCTGACAGAGTCCTGGACAAGCAGGTGCTGGTTTGGAATGAACTCAAGAAAGAATGACACTTCAACGAATAGGGCTTCCCCCTACTTCTGCTCAAATAGCTCCCAGGGGCCTCCGGCCATCTCGTGGTCGCCGCTCTCTGTGGCCGGAGGACACTCGAAGAAGAGTGGTGGCCACTTTCTGAAACTCTCCCCTGGAACTTCAGTGCCTTTGCATTTTCTTAGGTCGGCACCTTCTCATCCTCGTGGGAGCCTCTTCTCCCTCCTTCTTTAAATTAGACATTTCTCTGGGAACAAAATAAGTATAGGAGTTTTTTGGTTAGAATGTGAAAGGTGAGGGGCACCTGCCAAGGAGAAGCGCATGTGTGTACTTGGGGGATTATGAATAGACTTGTTTGCGCAGAGGTCTAAGTAAGAAGTGCTGGATTGTTATTTTTTTCCTACAAGAGAGTGATGTGATCGGAGTTGAGAGAGCTCGATAGCAGTGACTGCATCATTACTGAGTGTCTTATTGTAGTAACTCATTAATGAGTTACTAAGGCCAGCTTCAGTCGCATCCCTCAACTCAGGAACCTTCAGTGGCTTCCTATTGCCCTCTAAATTGAGAGTAAACTTCCCCCGGCGTTCAGTCCCACCCCCCAAGGCTTTAATCTGAATTTTCTGGTCTCACTCATTATACACACTGTTCGTTATAGCCAAATTCTTTGGAATTTGTGCTTTGCTGATAATTTTCTCTGTATATCAAAATTATGCCCGTCCTTCAATAGCTACCTTGAATATCACTTATGAAATCTCCCCTGGCTCTCACAATTAGGTATGCTCTCCTTGATTCTTGATATTGCAAAGCAGTCTGCACTTCTAAGTCATTCACATGCCTGTGCTTCACCTTTCCTGCAACTCTGGGCTTCTTCAGGAAAGGAGGTGTGTCATATAAACACACTGCCTTGTCCCTTTTCTCCCTTTCAGTCTTTGCACAGTGCAGGGCCTTCAGTAGGAACTCAATAAATGTTTGCTAAATTGAATTATCAAAATGATTTATGGGATTTTTCAAAGCGAAGGATCATGAGTTAGACTATTTTTTTTATATCCTTTGAGCTCTAATCATACTATTATGTGTTGACACATGCTTGATAAATATTTATGGAATTGAACTGAGATGTGTGTACTAAAGCTCAGTCTATAGTTTGTCCGACTTGTTTGAAGCATTAGAAAAAATCCATATCCAATTACAACAGTAAATCATGTGTAAAGTTGTCAGGGAGTGTTATAATGACACCTTTCTCCCCCTTTCTATCTAGGGAGCAGTAATGAATGAAATGGAAACAGAGCTCGTCGGAAGTGACAAATACGCTGCAAGATTTGGGGAATCTATAGTTAATCTTGGTGACATTGATAACGATGGCTTCGAAGGTAATTACAAGTATCCAATCTGGTACTTGATTTCCGCTCTGAAAATGGTACATGGAAGAGAATTTGACTGGAGTTTTATGTTGTTTGTCTTTCTATAGAAAGTTGAGCCAGAAGGTATGCTAAGTTTTTTTCTTTTTTTAGTCTTTTCCTCAGTTGTCAGCTATTGATTCTTACTGTCGTTAGTAGAGGATGATATTCAGAATACCATATGTCATCGATTCTAAGGCACCATGGTTATAAGAGTGGCATTTTTTGTGTCCCAAACAATGCTATTAAATTGTGACCCATGCATTTTTCTATTTTAAGGATTCTGATTTCAGAAATGTTAAAATGTCAAAAACAAAAAGTATATCATAGACTCAGATCATATTCTTTAACTAACAGTACAGTAAAGACACGGGCAAAACCTAGTGAAGGCTGGCTGCAGAGCTGGAGCAGGGTTCTGGAAGCCCCCTGCTATGCCAGGTGTTCCTTGTTCAGCTGTTGCACTGTGGGAGG